AGTTGACGTTGTATCTTGTGTCTTGTTGGTAGATGGCGCGACTGCACAGCGACAAAGCGCTGATCTTGGTCGGGATGGTGGGCGCGCTGCTGGCCTGTCAGGCCACCCTGCTGGAGGGTTGCCAGTCGCTGTGTACGGCCATCATCTGTCTGGGATTCCCCATCAAGACACCGCGCGGAATTCACGGAGTAAGTCAGCGGTTCTGCTCCTGTTGCTTATCCGCCATTTCGAGTTTTATTGCACTGATCGAATGGCGTTCACATGTCACTCATATCAGCATTAACTATTAATTCACAACCGATATTCTGAATATTTCTTTATAGGTTTACAAGCTTCCGGTTTTATCACTGTAAATATTTTTTCAAAAAATAGCTGCTGAGAATATTATTAATATTTACAGAATTTCTGGTGGTGAAAATTGTCGGCTTCCGGGATGTTTGTTTCGAAAGCAAAATGAGTTGTAATGAGACTGTTTATAGCGTCGTTGTCCAGGCTAGATGGTGTTGCGGCCGGTACTTGGTTGTAATTGGCGGTGTGTGTTGCAGCGTTATGGCAGTCCGCTGTTGAAACTGCAGACGGCCGTGCAGTTCGTCATCGGTCTGGCCGGGCGCAACTGTCCTTGGAGGAGTTTGTGGAGTTCCGCAGTAAACTGGAGGTGGACAGTGAGGTGGTGCTGGCCACCGGCTGCGACGACTATCTGCGCGTGAAGCACTACGTCAAGTCGCGGCTGCGCATCACGCAGAGTATGGCCGATCGATGTCTGCTGGTGAGTTGACATTCAACAGGACGGCAGCTTTTTCAGTATTATTCCAATTCGATTTTGTTGTACTTTAGCTTCTGTTTTATTCTGGATAATGTGTTTTATTTTTATTCTAATTTTTATGTACATTCTGTTTGTGTACTTTATTAGCGTTGGCGTAATTATCTATAATATAAAAAGTACACGAAGTTATTTTTGCTGACTGTTACTGTTCTCTGAAGTACACTGATATAGTGCCGAAGATACACTGATTTAGTAGGCCCTTTTCTGCGATCGAACTGAGCACAAACACCGCTGTGATTCTTGTATGTTGATGTAGAATTGCTGGAAGGAATAAGTACGAATTAACTGCATTTGCAGGAGGAATGTGTGCATTTTCTCTACCGGATTATTCCCAAGGCTGAACGCCTGCGGCAGGTGGCCAAGGCCCGGGCGGAGCTGCCCGTGGTGGAGGTGTCGCCCAAGAAGCGCAAGAAGCCCGCTACGGCTCGTCCCGCTGCGAAACGCGTTAAACCCAACGCCCATGCGGACACACCCACGAAAAACAGCCACAAAGTAATAAACCAACATCCTTAATTAATGCTGTGGTGATATATTGTTTTATTCTTATAAAGCTGGATTTACAAACTTTTGGTATTTCCGGAAATTATTAATCACCGTCAGAACAGCGTCGATACACAGCTGTTTTTTTTACAAATTCTCTGATTATTTTCCAAATTCCGAAAGAGAATAATAATTATTGATTTACTGTGCTTTTTACAATCGAAATATTATTTGTAGTTTGTTTTTAAAATGCTGTAAGATTAAAAAAATATTATAAAACTGCCATACGTTGCCTAAAATGCGTAATGTGCTACCAAAAACTTAGCTAGAAAAACGTAGAATTATACATTTACGATTTAATAATTAATTGATAAATTTGCAAATTTGAATCATGATTTATTAAAAAATTTAATATTTATTTGTGGAAATTTTGTTTTATTATCGCTTTCTTGCGTCGTTAGGTGGAAACGCCGTCACTGAGCACCGAGAGCCCCTCCGGCGGCTCCTCGGCCTCCCAATCGCAGGACTCCACCTCCGGGATCCCCACGCCCTGGCCGGCCGCCACCCCGCCTCCGAACCCTACCCCACCGCCTCCCGTGGCCCCGCTGCTGCCCCTCCCAGCCTCCTGCCCCCTGCCCTCCATCAGCACCTCAGCGGGGCTCCTCCACCGCCTCCGACAGCCTGCGCAGTTTGGGTTTCAGCGCGGGGAGCCGTTGGTGCGTGCCGCCGCCGCTGCTGGCAGGCGCCGTGCAGTCCACCTGGAACCTGTCGGCCACGGAGATCGCGCAGATCGGTTTGCGCATGCCGGGGGGCACCGGGAGTGGAGGAGGCGGTGCCTGGACGGGACTGGAGCAGCGTATGTCGGTGATTGCGCATACCGGGGCGCGTGTCCCTGCGCCAACCGCCCCCGGGGTATGGTCGCCCGGGAGGATGATGCCGACGCCGCCCGGCAACTGAAATTGTGTGCTCAGTCGGAGGGGAAATTGTGGAATAGTGGCATTTTTACATTTGACGGGAATGATTTGTTGTATTAATCTGGTAATCTGGAATTGTTTTTATGGGTTGTTTTGTTGAAATTTCTTTTGAGATGGTTATGGGGAAAACACTCACAGTAATGAATTAAATAATGGACACCTTAGACAGTCGTACTTTGTGTATACACTATACCCGGTGCTCTATTTATAGGAGTGAGTGGAATGTTCATTCGTTCCTCTCGCACTCCTAGAGCAGCGGAGTGCTATGCCGACCGCGTTTCTAGTACGAGTACCAATGGTAAGAAAGTGGAAAACAGTACTGCAACCGCGAGTGGTAATGCCGGATTTTCCTATACATGAAGTGAGCTATTCGGATCTGGTTTGTGCTTTGTAGACAGTGACACCGCCGCTATAACCATAATAATTATTATTGTTGCCTAAAACATTCCCGCTAAAGTGTATCTGTAGAGTGTAGTAATACTCACTAATACTAGCTAATAGCTATACATAGATTCGGGCCATACGGTTTGCTATGACTTCATATAAACCACGGTACGAGAAGTGTTCCGATATGCCCTTCAGAATTCCGTCGAAACGTAAGAATCTTTAACTAAAATCATTTCCTCTCATCGAATTCTGAGTGCAAGCCTACTAAAAACTCAGCAGCAACAAGAATAGATACAAAATCTGTAAACGCAACAACAAATTCAACAATTAATCTAAAATGCACTAGGCACATTGTTAGCGTTCCAACATAATTTTATTTCACTCATGCGCATAACTGATCCTTATGCATTTATTATGCTCCACATGCGTACATGCTTTCAGTCCATTCCGGAAGGAAGGTCAGCAGTCACTCTGACTTGCAGTCTTAAGGAGAAGTTATGAGGATCAACGTACCCTTCATCCGGATCCAGCAAATCCTTAAATTACAAACTTCGTCAACACGTACTCAACAATTGTTGCCAAGCTCTTCTTCGTTTGAAACTTTCACCTCCATAGAGATAAATTTCGGGAATCCCCAGGAATGACTGTTGTTGAACAAGTGAGATTTCTCTACGAGTGCAAAATTTCAGAGTACATTTATGGATGTCCTACTCATGGTTGTCGTCGAGGTTACTGAGTGCACTGCAGTACACATACGTTTCTTAACTGGTGCAGTTTGTTTTCCATGGCATCAGGTGCATCTCAGCTGTAGCCTGGCAGGTCCACGACGTGGATTTCGGACATCCAGAACACGACAGGTAGAAGCCCAGATAAGTAGACTCACCGTAAATTTTCTTTTTCACTTCGATTCTCCTGTAATGTGTTACGTTAAATACGAACATACAGATACTCCGGATCCAAGGGCGTGAACTCCACCTAGTCAATTTATATTTCCGTAATCGGTTTCTGTTTCTACGGCGGACCTCTTACCACAGCAGCTTTGACAGTCACGAGGTCGCTTAACATGCAGGCAGGTGACTCTGGCAGTGCCCTGGCATCCGGAACCGTATAACTGATGACACCCTCAGCGCGCACATCTAGAAATGCCAAAAGTATTTCTGCAACAAGGCGGCCTTTCTTAAAGAACGCATTAACAAGCTAACTTTGTCGGGGCTTTGTAGGAAACGGCAGCGGTGGTTTGATGGTAGCGTGTTTACAATGGTAGATGTCCAGTACCTCCGATTGCAGCAACAAACCACTCTGAGCAAAACAAAACATTTCAATGATCGCGTTTGACCGTAATCGTATACCGGCGCCTTACTGTTCCGATCTACCGTAATTTGGACTCATCGGCCGTTCAAATCGCCGATGCCAGTCAGAGTCTGGCCAGTAACACAGTACGAATCTATGTCACCAGCATACCTTCACGGGTCCATCCAGCAGCTGTACATCTGTCAAGAGCGGAAACCGAATGAGGAACAACGCCTGGCCCAATACCTCACGCCGATTTACGAAGGATGGGTCTAAATTCCTTTGCATGCACATGTTGGCGGCCCACCTATCAATAAAGACATCGAGAAATCAACGTAATGTCCCATTAAAGATTCGTTTACTTGTCAACAGCCAAACAGATGGTATCTTCATTGGCGGTCAGAGTGTCCCGGCTGAGAATGGCGCATAGGGCCTCGCGCCCGATTGCGCTGAACCGAACCGACTGCCAGATCGATTTTGCTGATTCATCAATCACGCTCAAACACTTTTCCAGGATACTCGGCGCCACATTTGCATAGTGAACCGCCTACACAAAGTAGACGGCTAATATCAGATGTGGGACGGATATTAGGGCAGACTTACGCTATCCAGCATATCCAGGCAGTTGCCGATGTTGAGATCACTCAGGACAAAATTAGTGCACATGGCTACCAGCAGTGGCAAATCGTACTTGTCTGCACAGCCCAGTGTATGGAAGACGTTGTCCTGGGTGAAATCCCACACCACATCGGTGTACAAATAGCTGCATAATTTTCTGTGTTCTCTTGATACAGTATTGGGTGGAAAGAACGAGAAAGAAATGGCGTAACAACAGGATGACATTCCTACCTGAGCATGTTGGCGAAAGCGTGCGGAAGAACGTCGGGGATTTCGATGGGAGCTGTGCAGTTATCGGGTAAACTTCCATAGAACATCGCGTGGAACACAGGACTGCGGACGCCAATTATGACCCTACAAAACTGACAACTTCAAACTGTGCAAAGCCCAGCGCGTTTGACAAGCAGAGATGAGGACAAACTGGATTACATGAAATGATGAACGGCAGTCGTCACAATTACAAATCAAGCTCAGACATACCTATGAGCTGGGAAGACCATCACAGCTCCATAATCACGTCCCACCGCGAACTCGACATCGCTCATGTCTTCACTGAATAGCAGGTGTTTAACATGGTCGCCAAGTTTGGACACTCCGATGGCGCGATTATCCGCATCCATAGACTCAATGACATTTTGAGACATATCTGTACGAGAATCGAGATTGTCAACCTGCGGATGGAGACCGCAATTACATAGCACATGTGCCGCAGTCCGAGGTAAGCAGCACAGACAGCAGAACCATCAAAACGCACCTAAAGTCTACGGCTCATAGCGGCTAATTTAATACGGCTCATAGCGGCTCCTCCACATGGTTTTCTTTAGTAAAAGGCGAAAGAAAATCACGATATGTGGAGAAGTTCAATATCAACCAACAGTTTCAAATCTACCAACAGTTTATGACTCAGCGATAGCAGGAAATGAGACAATTCATAAAATTGCGTCAACAGTGAAAAGAATTCGGTGCACATTTGACACTGCAGAAGAAACGTGATCTTGAACATTGGTGCATTTTGACTCATTTTTTGCCGACAGTCAGTCAGTCACTGTCACACCGCTGCATGTTTTCGTGTGAATGCCGCTCACCCGTTGGCGGTGAGGTATATCAATCTAAGCCGCTAGTAACTCTAAAGAGTGTAAACAGCCAAACAAAATTGTCCGATGGTGAAAACTGAAAATTCCGCTCCATTCTCACTTGTTTTAAAAAAACCTAGAAGGATCTCCATATTGTTGTCGACATATATATGACCAGGGCAGGTCTCAATAAAGCAATACCACTGACTCATTACGTCATCGCAAGAGTAGCTCGCATATTAGCGCGGCTATAGTAAAATGCTGGGAAAATCGGTTTGCCCCCTTTTTCTGTTTCTGTTAAATGTGATTCGAACTGCAAAATATGCGTATTAACTTCCACTATTTTTAGAAGTAAAATAAACCTTTAAATGTGTAACGTGCATGACTTAGAATCAATTTCCCGTTATTTTTTTTTATAATTTCCCCATACGAATGCAGTGTGCGGTACTGTGTGCAACTGTTCATATTAAATCACCGATACGTGATTATATCTCGGTACTAGCTGACCCCGCGCAAATTGCGCGGAATAATTATTATGCGATGGACAAATCATAACCTAGTGCACAAATTAAATTAAATTAAATTAGTACATCCGCTTCGGGAGTTATGGCTGTTAGAAAATTCCAAAAGGTTAAATGCGTTCAGGTGTACCAAAAGTCTCATTATGGACCGATCCCTTTCGAACTTTGCATGTAAATGCACGTAACCATGAAGATCGTTTTGACACGGATCCACTATTCTAGTGATGTTTTTCAAATTTTAAAATGAATTTCAAAAATTTTAAAGTTCATTTTAAAATCTGAAAAAAATCGTGAAGTCTGGATCGGTGTAAAAACGATCTTCATGGTAATGTTGTGGATTTACATGCAAAATCTGAGGGAGATCGATCCATAATGAGACTTTTGGTACACCTGAACGCATTTAACCTTTTTAGAATTTTCTAACAAACATTTTCTCCCGAAGCGGATGTTGCGCGCACAAACGGTTTTCACGCCAGTGTATACAATCTTCTGGCTACAAAACGTCAAAAACCAAAACAAAATTTTATTTGCGAGTGCGCGAAAGCGAAACTTTTCGTGCACGTACACGAATTTGGTACCATGTACCGGCCGACTTCCCTTAAACCTGAAAATAATACGAAATTTTACGCCCAAATAGGAGAACATTTTGCATTAGTTTCCTGTCCATTAATTAACTTCCAGATCAGTTATCCAATCATTTAGAGTTAGGGGACCGCATAGGGACTCTGTAATTTAGTAGACGTTGACCTCTCTTCCCTTCTTTTCATTCTGCGCGTTTTTAAGATTTAGAGTAAGACGAACATAAGAACAAAAGCCTTTCATTTTTTATCATTCTGCGCTTTTTCAAGCTGTAGGGTCGTTACTATCCGATAACAGTTTACCTATACTTGAAAGCCCAATTTGAAAATTACCACCACTGGTGCCCTTTATCCCATTTTAACAATCCGAACACACGGACAGAGTAATGCTATCGCTGCTCCTTTTTTACTATTGCTTTGAGTCTTTGACCAAAGAACACAACCACACAGTTTAAATAAATAAGAAAAGAAGCATTTCGTTATGTTTCCTTCTTCGCTTTTAACTCTTTTCCAAAAGCGGGAACGGTAACGCAAAATTCTTGCATGCTTGCTGCTCCGCTAGCTCCGCTTGCGCCGCAGCACGGCGTTGCCTGCGGCGCCGCCTTCTAGTACGCTGTCAAGCGAACTGAAAAATTCATTTGTCCTCTTTTACTTACAATGCAGCATTCCACCTTACATATTACAATTCGCGCCACATCCAGTTTTACCCCACCCGATTTTATACCGAAAATGATTTACAAATGGCTTGTACAGAGAGCTGGATTTGCATTGATATGTATCAGCCGTTCTTTAATCCAAACACCACGTAACCTGCGAAACAAACAACAGCTTGCTGTTCTTCGAAGCAAACCTTGAATACGTATTCCAAGTTGCCCCGTTTGCCTTTCTCGAACACCACCTTGTCTTACCTACCGAAAACGAAAACGTAGAAAAATTGCCTTAAATCGCAGGCAGTTCTGTAAGAAAGGCAACCGCGCCCGCCCGGGAAGGTACTTTACAGCGTAGTTAGGCCGAAACTGAATAAACTACTGCGGGGGTCAGGTACGTTCTTAAAATCAGACTTTAGAACCGTCCCACAGTCGCAGAATCTTTGCGGCCATTTTGTTTTCTTTCCTTCGTTTTGCTTTCTTTCTCAAAACTAAATTTCGATGAGAAATGTACATTAAGACGATGAAATATTTTCTGTTATGGAACGTAAAGTTCAGTCGTGCTGCAGCGTAACTGTCAAAGAAGCATGTTGGCTGTTGAGACAGTGGTGGGGTGGTTGGTTTAGCAGTGGTGGGTTCTTAGCTTTTCCCATAGACTTTGTATGTGAAAGTTTTTGGAAGTTTTCTTTCAAACTTACTTTTTTCTTGAAAAACTGATTTGTGATGGCAAATCTACACTTTAAGAGCTATCGAATGATATATAGTCACGGCAGTTTGGATCCGTGCGTCGAGCTGACGGACTCAACAAAGATTAAGGCTTACGCGATTATTATATAGAGAAGTCACGGCAGTTTGGATCCGTGCGTCGAGCTGACGGACTCAACAAAGATTAAGGCTTACGCGATTATTATATAGAGATTCTCCATGTAAATTAGTCCCAATTAGTTCTTTAATTTTGCACATTGTTCAGTTCAGTATCTGCTTCATTTTGTTCTTAGATTTTGAAAAGTTTCTTTGGAATAAATCAACAAAACCAACTCGTGCAGTACGTAATAATTTTGCCGTATACCGGTAGAAACTAAGTTGCCAACAGCCGCTTTGCAAGTTGCCGCACAGTACTTAATCATGTTGCCTCTTCCCATTGCTTATTTTATATTAGAAATAAAATCCCAACTGCAATAAAAGAGTAAAAACGACTAAAGAACACAAATAAGCTTGAAAAGCTTAAAAAACTCTGGCTTTTACGGTGTTCTTCGGCAATTTGGATTACTCTAGCGCTTTCGTCATTGCAAATCCCGCCCTCAGTGGGGTTGCCTGTATTGCGATCTGCCTTGATATAACATTAACGATGTCGTTAATGTTATATTACATGTACAATGTAGGACTAAATGGTCGCATAGCCCCATACCCAGCATTCTGTACGCAAGCGGTGCAGTGCGCTTGTATGAAACGGATATTTTGAACTCAGTCGTACAGTGCACTCCGCTGCATGCGTACTGAATGTGGAGATGTTGGGTATGCGACCATTTTGTCCTAAGTTGTAATATGTATAATGTAGAATAATGTATAATGTGCACACAATTTAGAGCAGTAAGTATACAAAATGTCGGCGTTGCTAAATTTTGTAACGTAGTTGTTGGTACAACTAATTGTGCTGTGTTTCTGAAATGACGGTGGACGAGTAAGTAATTAATTTCCTCGGATGCGTCGAATAATCCCTGCAACTGTGCATTGCAGGTGCGCACCCACAGAGTATTGTACTTACCTATGCGATCTTAGACAGGTAAAATCAATAATTATTATGCAAGAGGGTCAATATTTGCGATGACGCTTCGCGTGAAGGCAGTATAATGCGGCGCTGGAGCAGCAGCACATATCACCGCGCGTCACAGTGCCTGATTCAGTCCACTTGACCCACAGCCGGCGCGGTGCTGCGTCTGGATCAAGGTGATTTCAGCACTGCTTTCGGGCCACCTAATTACAATAAACACACATGTTATGCACTAATTATTAAAGGGAACATATTGCGCCATAATTAGCTCATTTTTGACAAGCTGCCAGCAATATACCATGGAAATCGCAACTGCGACGGAAAACAGTTCCCGGCATTCAAGGCTATATAATATTTAAACTTGCGCCATCTGCGGTTGAGCGCAGCAGTATTTCTGCTCATACAAAAATCATTTTACTAATACAACAGTAGAAATGGGCATCAGATAGGAATATCAGGAATATCCGTTTTGTCCTATCCAAATCCGAATTTCGGATAGGATAAACTCACTGATAAAGGATAATTATCCGAAACGTTCGGGACAAGGATAATGCCCCGTAGCTTTCGGATAGGGTCGGATAATTGGTGCTTGTCCGAACTTTATCCGAGAATCGAAATAAATTATTTTATCTGCGCTGTTAGATTGTTAAATTACAAGAATTACAAGCGGTAGCAATGACATATTAAAGTCTAACGATTATCGCAGCACCATGATGCAGTTGTTTCTTTTGTGCTAACAAGTAAGCTGCAACTACCTCGTATATTAAGCGTAACTGCAGCATTCGTATCTGCTTTTTGTAGGGAGGATGAAACATGATTCACGTATTTGCACTAGTCCATTGTTCCATCGTTTTAGCGTTAACTTCAAGTTTATCGATACTTAAAATTATGATATTGTACTCCGGTATAGTATTTTCTCCTATCGTATGTCTGAATTTTTTGTTTTTGTTAAAAATTGTCTGTTTGGACAATTATCCGATTAGACTAGGATATCCGAGTGTCGGATAACCATAGGATAAGTATAAAGAATTAAAAAGTAACGGTCGGGTAAGGATAATTTTAAAAAGTGCCGGATAGGATAAGGATGAAGAATGCCCATTTCTATACTACAGGGCGTCAAAAGCAATTAAAAAGGTCGGATTAACAGTGATTTCGGTAATACACGACTTGGAATAACAGCTACAAATTAAACAAAATCTGCAATCCTTATTAAAAAATAATAAATATTAAT